CATCCATCCATCCATCCATCCATCCATTCATTCCTCCATTCCTCCTTCATCCATCCATCCATCCATCCCTTCATCCATCCATCCATCTATCCATCCATCATCCATCCATCCATCCATTCCTCCATTCCTCCTTCATCCATCCATCCATCCATCCATCCATCTATTCATCCATCCATCCATCCATTCCTCCATTCCTCCTTCATCCATCCATCCATCCATCCATTCCTCCATCCATCCATCCATCCATCCATCCATCCATCCATCCATCCATCATCCATCCATCCATCCATCCCTTCATCCATCATCCATCCATCCATCATCCATCCATCCATCCATCCATCCATCCATCCATCCATCCATCCATTATCCGTCCATCCGAGCTGCCGGGGCTGGCGGAGGCATCCCGCGGGTGGCCGCGGGAGGGGCGGGCATGCGGCGGGCGGGGGGGGTGAGAGTTGGCGGAGGGAAGGGCAAAGACAGCGCCGAGAGCGCGGCGGGGACGGGTCGGGATCGCCCCGTTCCCGGTCTGGGTTACGCTCGCGGCATCGGCGAATAGCATAAAAAATAAAAAAAAAAAAAAAAAAAAAAAAAAAAAAAAAAAAAAAAAAAAAAAAAAGAAAAACAATTTTTAAAAGCCTCCAAACCCAAAAATCCGCAGCCCGACCCGGCCGCCCCGCCTCCACCCAGCATCCTCGCTACCGGCTCCGCGGGCTCAGAGCGACCGGCGGCTGGCGACCCGCTGGTGGCCGTGTGGCTGTGCCCGAGCTGCTCCCGGCGGTGCTGTCCCCGCGCTGGGCTGTGCAGAGGAGGAGGAGGAGGAGGAGGAGGATGAGGAGGAAGATGAGGAGGAGGAGGAGTAGGAGGAGAGGGGCTGGCAGGGATGGTCCTGGCTGGCAGCGCCGCCACCGCCCCAGCAAACCGAGCGGCGCCGGGCGCCCCTCGGGGCCGCGCTCCTGCCCTCGGGGGCGGCGGGGACACCACCCGGGCTGTGGCCGTGCCCGGGACCCCCTCAGGCGTCCCCCCAAAAGCTCCGGAGCGGAAAGCGCCGCCAGCTCACCCGGGGAGGAGCGGGGACCACCCGGGGAGGAGCGGGGACCACCGTGGGAGGAGCGGGCGTGCGGCGGGGCGGTGTCCGCGGCTCTGCGGGCACCTTGCGGGCACCGGGGGCGGGCGGGGAGCGGCAGGAGCCCGGGCGGGCGGGCGGGCAGGGCCGGGGGCCGCGGGAGCGGGCGGTGCGGGCGGCTGCGGAGCCGCGGTGCCCCGGGGGACGAGGCGCGGCCGCGGCGTCCCCGCCGAGCCGGCGCTCGCCCCGCGCCGATCCCGGGAGCCCCCGGCCCGCGGCCGCGCCCCGGTAGGGCCGTGATTGGCCGGTGCCCTCCCCGTATGCAAAGCACCGGGGGAATGACATTCCTCCGCACGCCTCCAGCCAGCCCCGACTCGCTCCCGGCCACCTCCAGCCAGCCCGGCGGCCGCCGGCCGGGCGCGCTCGCTCCGCCGCCCCGCGCATCCATCCCGGCAGGAATTCTCCGCGCCCGCGGGAAGCTCCCGGCCGTGGACTCGCTCCCGGGCTGAGCGGAGCTGAGCCGCTCTCCAGAGCCGCCCGGCAGCTCCGCGGTCCCGCCGCGCCCGCCGCTCTCCGCCTCTGCTGTCGCCGCCTGGTTCCGCGGAAGGAAAGATTTCACCCGTTCAAAAGTAGAGATTGCGCTGAGTGGGGAGGCTTTTTTTGGTTGTTTTTTTTTTTCTCCGCTTTTTTAAT